AGGATAGGAAGTCTTAGAATACTTTTCCTTTAAACCAAAGGCCTTCATCCCTTAGGCTTATGGAGTAATCAAAGGATTGTACACCTGCAATTCTGTGATGGCCCTTAGGTGCCAGGTAGTGAATAATGATCAACAATGGAGACCCCTTTGTCAAGGGACTATCTCAGGGCTGATCAGCACTGGACCACCACTGAGTCACTACTGGATGGAAATGAAATGTACTTTCTGTGACAAATGCTAAGAACCTGGAAACTCAAAAGTAATTCTACAAGAACTGTGCCTTTCTGAGAAGAGTAAAATGAAGATGACTCAAAAGAAGAAGCCTGTGTCATAAGCAACAGATAAAAACAAGTTCTCTAGAGCATTAGCTATAGAGGTTCTAGGAAACGATCCAGAGTCAACACTCTCATTATGCATTTCTCACTGCTGAGACGTGGTGGGTTTGGACGAAAGGTGCAAGTGTGCTGGTTCTGTTTACATCACTATGTCTCTGGGGGAAGATATAAAAACATGTGAGGAGAAGGGCACACAGGACAGTACAACTCTGCCACTGACGGAGCAGGTGCCTGATGTCAGGAAAGGCAGGCATAACCCCAAAGGCATGAAAGAGGTGGACTGACTGGCTTCCACATTCCGGAAGCCCAGAAAATCAGGCAGAGGGCACAATCAGACTCCTGCCCAATACCAGAAACATCACTGAAATTGCACAGCCCAGGGCAGCTAGGATCCTTAAGAAGCCCAATACTGAAACTTGGAAAGTAGCCTTGAAATAAGCAGCAGCAGCTAGAAACTCAACTTTATATCTGACCATGTGCGGCGGGGAATGAAACATCAAGGTAGGAGGTGCACAGTGACCCATGAGTGTGGCAGAGCACTCTTGACTTGCCAGGAGAACAAATATCCCTAAACTAGGTCAGATTCTTGGTTCGCACATTGTTGCCCACAGCAACTCCAAGGGGTAGGACCTAAATGCTCCAAACGACCAACTGCTCCATCTAACCTCAGGGGTCAAAGCCAGAGCATGTCCTAGTTTCTCCCAGTAACCACTCCCAATTCTGTCACTCATCCATTTGCCCAGACCCTTCTGAAACTGCATTTATATATCCTGCCTGGACCACCTCTTGAGCTAATGAGTTTTAGAAGATTATTACCTGCTGTGTTAAGCATTACTTCCTTTCCTTGGTTATAACAAGAAAAAGAAGAATTGAGGGTGAACTAGCAGAAAGGCTAATGTTTCTTTCATCAAAGGACAATCTCCTGTGTAGAAAGTGGAAATATTCAACAGCCTGGAACCACGAAGCATTTAAGCAGCAATCAGGAACTCAGGAAACCTAACTTCAAGTGCTTTGGTTGACGAAGAGTCACTCAATGTGTGTTTATGAAAAATGGGACTGGACAAAGGCATAATTTGTGTTAGAACCACCTAGTTAGAAAACAGCCCAAATGTCATGGAGTCCAGCAATGTTTTCAGTCACAAACCCTCAGTTGATTACAAATACACAGGGATCGAAGGTAGGTGAAAAACAGGAAAATCTGCTAGGAGATACCGCAATTAATACCACAGCTCTCTGCATAGACAGGGATGCCTGAGAACCACCAGGAAAAGGCCCTATCAATCCTCAGAGGACATGGAGATCCCACTCACTGGCTGAGCTACATTAAGTGCCTCAGCCAGGATAAAGTTCATCAGCCACAAGCACTCTAATTGCAATATAGTGCCCTGGACGGATTCCTGGAACAGAAAAAGGAGCATGAGTGAGGAAGCCGGTGAAACTGGAGTAAGTCTGAAGTTTAATTAATTGTATAATCTTATTTTGACAAATGTGATGTTGTTATGTAGGATGCTATCATTAGGGGAAACTGGAAGAAGGGTATGTGGGAACTCTACTATCTTTGCAAATTTTCTATAAATGTGATATTATTCCAAAGTAAAAGGGCTGTTAAAATTACTAGAAGTTCCTTTAAGACAAATGTGTTTTATGACTCTTCAGAACCACTATGCTGGGAGTTAGAAAATAAAAACCATCAAGAGTTTCTGTCAGAATTTTAGAATCGGGATTCAGGGCAAAGAACATCAAAATACATCTCTCTGAAGAAGACATATACCAATAACCAACAGGTGTATGAAAAGGTGCTCAGTATCACTAATCATCGGGGAAAGGCAAATCAGAACCACAATGAGCTATCACTTCATGCCTGTTCAATTGGCTATCATCAAAAAGATAAGAGGTAATCGGCATTGGTGGGCATGTGGAGGAAAGGGACTCCTTGTACATGGTTGGTAGGAAGATAAACTGGTGCAGCCACTATGAAAACAGTATAAAGGATGCTCAAAAAAAATTAAAAATAGAAATTCCTTGTCATCCAGGAATCCCTCTTCTGGGTACACAGAAGAAAATAAAATCAGTACTTCAAAGAGTTATCTGTGCTCCCACATTCATGGCAGCATTATCCACAGGAGCCGAGATAACGGGAATAACCTAAGTGTCCATCAATGGACAAATGGATATTTAAATAGGTGTGAAGGAATATTGCTCAGTCTTTAAAAATAAAAAGAAGGAAATCCTGCCGTTTTCAACAACATGGATGAACCTGGAAGTCATGATGCAAAGGGAACTATGACAGGCACGAAAAGAAAAAAACTACATGATCTTACTCATATGTGGAATCTAAAAAAGTTGAATACACAGAAGCATGGAGTAGAAAAACGGTCACCAGAAGTGGGGAGTTGGGGGAAATGAGAACATGTACAAAGTTGGGAGTAATGTAGGATGAACAAGTCCCAGAGAGCTAATGTATTAATACAGTGTGATGACCATACTTAAGAATACTGTATTGAATACTGAAACTTCGTTAAGAGAGTAGATTTTAGATGTTCTCTGAAAGGAAGGAAGGGACAGAGAGACAGAAGGAAGAAAGGAAAGAAGAGGAAGAGGGAGGCAGGAAAGGAGGAAGGAAACTGTGAGGAGATGAATGTGTTAACTAGCTTGACTGTAGTAACCATTCCACTGTGTCTATGTAAATCAAATTTTTACACTGTATGTCTCACATATAAACAATTTTTATTTTTAAAAATATATTTAAGAAAAGAATCAGGATTCAGCTGGGTGAGAATTCTCTCATATGAACTCAGTATGGGAAAGTGAGAAACATGTTAAAGATGAGGAAAAACTAAGCAGATATTTATCAGGATATGGAAACATTACGTAGAGTCACAGAAGACACAGTGAGTCTCCTCACGTGAAGAGGAGGCAACAAGTTGCAAAGACGGTCAAGTGTGCAGTGACCCATCCCAGAATCATCTCATCCCAAAGACAACCAGGACTTCCAACAAGACAGACCTTGTGAAGCACAGTAGGGGCCACGTGCTCTCCCAACACATATCCTCTCCGGGCACTGTGTAATTTACAGAATGGTACTTAGCCTCAGAAGCCCAACAAGCCTAAAACCTATAAACAGCCCGAGAAGAAAAGACTAGAACAAAATATGGGAATTCTAACACAATACCAAAACATCAGCAAGGTTTACCAGAATACAAAATAAAGTTACCTGGGTAATTAATCACCATTTGCTGACTTACATGGGTGGAGACAACTGGCAAAGACAAGAATAAGAAAATGAGCTGCTTATTTAAGAAGTGAAGTTGCTCAGTCGTGTCTGACTCTTTGCAACCCCATGGACTATAGCCTACCAGGTTCCTCCATCCATGGGATTTTCCAGGCAAGAATACTGGAGTGGGTTGCCATTTCCTTCTCCAGGAGATCTTCCCAACCCAGGGATTGAACCCGGTCTCCCGCATTGTAGGCAGACGCTTTATCATCTGAGCTACCAGGGAAGCTCTCTATTTAAGAAGACTGGAGATAAAAAAGGTAAGGCAAGAAAAGATTAAGTATTTGGGTGGCAATAAGAACCAACTGTATCAAATCTTTCCAAAAGCAAAAAAGAAAGACTGCACTCAAAATGTACTTCTGATTAAAAGCCCTGACTCATGGAGATTTGGGGGTTGATCCCTAAAAGACTTGAAAAATATAGTAACATGGCCACCAGAAGAAAAAAAAAGTTGCCACATAAGATCTACAGAAAATTCGCAGAGGGTTAGAGAAACCATAGAAATGGCTTTCAACTGGACAATAACGGCTCTTAACCCAACTCCTATATGTCAGCTAAAGGTTCAAGAGGTTACAGTTACAACACAGCTCCAACTAGAAGCCTGGTTTTGATACCTAGAAATGGATTCCATTTCCCTGCCTCCCCTCATCACCAAAAATCAGACATACACTCAACCAGGCCAATGGCTTTCCTACAGGCTCTGATCTGTGCTAATCACTGAGTCAGGTTATAGATCTCATTCAATCAACACATCCAAGCATAAAAAGGTTGAAAAAAAATGACCAATTTGTAAAACATCAAGCATTTTCGACTTGTAGATAATAAATCAGGTCTTTGTTCTTAATGAATTCAGTTTGCAGTAATTGATAACCAAGTGATATATGAATGAATCTATTCTGCATATGCATTATACGTGCTTGTGAGCAAAGACAAATATTTTAGAGGGAAACAAGCGAACACAGCAAGGCATTTATGGCTTTAGGGCAGGACTGGCCATTAGCAGAGCAATGCTGGCACTCTGCCTAATCTCTGAGTCTTTTTCCTAATCTTGTGAACAAAATAGCTAGGTCCACTCTTCCTCTGGGAAGAAATTCTGCCAAACCAAGTGACAACCTTCAGATTCCATCAATCTGTACCTCTAATGTACTGAGGGATAATACTCCAAAGGCCACATAAACAGAGTTTGATAAATGATCCAGTTCTCTGCAAACAATGTTAAAGTAGAAATATTACTCAAGACAGCTACATCATTCCTTTTTCCATTCCTATTGATAATTAAAACCCTTACTTATATAATTTATACCAGCTTCTGGGAGGCAGAATAATTTCAGATCACTTTTAAGTGTTTCTTAATCCCAACACCAGAACTGAAGGAATACAACTCTACTTACAGTTACGAATGTTACTCCAGTCGATTTTGGAGAAGAAAGGATGACAGCAAAGGCCTTCAAACTTCAGCCTCTCTTTCTGGCCACACAACAAACTCTGGATTAGATCAAGCAATTCACTGCTAACTTTGGGGTCATCTGGAAACTTCAAGAACCGCTATTTCAAAAAAAAATTTTAGATAATAAAATATTCCCTTAGCAAATCAGCTTCTCGTGTCTCAAAGTTAAAAAAGTAGTTCTCAAATAAATAAAATAAAAAAGTAGTTCTCATATATTCAAGTTTTTTTTTTTTTAAGAAGGAAGTTTTATGTCCTCTTAACTTTGGACCAAAGGCATGTTCCCACAGTAAATGTTCTCTTCACATCAATAGGCCTAGCTCCCTTGCAAGGGTTCAATACCCTTCATGATTTGATCTCTGTACCCCCTTCCGTCTCACCTAGCTACACTCCCCGCCTCGCTCTTTGCCATCCAACAATGATGTGCTATTTAAAGCTGCCCAAACAAATCACTCTGCTTTCTCTGCCCAGAAGGCTACCCCAGTCCGAGCCCCTCCTTCCCTGCCTCTCCCACTCCATCGCTCCCTCCTGCTGCTCCCCCTGTACTCTGTGTGTACTCTGCACATACACACTGTATTGTGATCTCCATGTGATAATGGAGAAAGAAGGCCAAGAGGGCCTTTCTCCTCGCCCATCACTGCAAACATGGTACCTAACAGTGCCGAGTACGAGTTACTCGTTACTGAATGAACGGTTGGAAATGAAGGAAACAGATGAGACTCAAGCATCATCTAAGGGGAGATTTTAACTCAGGAGAAGACACAAGAATAGCAAAAAATGTATGTATGAATTAAGCATACAAAAAGTATATTTTATATAGAAAAATATGTACAAAGCATCCCAGGAAGAAATTGGATACACAAAAATCTGTGAAATAAATTCTCTTTTTCCTTTTTATTGAAACTAAAACATGAATATTTATCATATCCTTAAGAAACAGGCTAATATAATGACAAATACAGTTTCTAGATGATAGCTTTAATTCTACTTTATGTGTCTATTAGTATTTCTATCCATGTCTCTGAATTTTAACCATATTTGACAGCTAGTGGCACTAAGAAACAGTGTAGCATATCAAGAGCACGTATTTCAAAGCTAGACTGCCTGTGCTGTTTTGGGCAAGTTATTTATCCACACTGTGCTTTGGTTTCCTCATCTGTAAAATGAAAATAACAAAAACAATATCATCATCTCACAGGACTGCCTGAGGATTAGCCAAATTAATGAACTATATTCCACAAATCCTGTGACCCCCATTTTACTCACATTTAACATCACTGTAATCAAAGCATTTTATAATCAATAAAATATACTGCATTAATTGGCAGCAGTTTTTCCTTTTTAATACCTAAAAAGATGGCATAGACTTAACAATTACTGGCACCTGAGAGTCAATATAATACAATTAATAAAGCATTTAGAATTCCTTTTGGCACAGAGTGCTATATAAAGTATTTGCTATTGTTATTATCCGGAACTTCTGGTTTATATTATAAATGTTCATTCGCACCATTTTAAAATGAAATTTCTCAATATTACCTCAGAATCTAATAAGGGCTCTTTACCTGGAAATTCATGATGTTATTGAAGGTTTTGGCTGAGGTTCCTTCAGTGAATGGGCATCTTCCATAAACCATCTCATAAGCAATAACTCCCACTGACCACCAGTCACAGTCTAGGCTATAGGCACCTTTTCCATCCCCATTCATCACAGTCAACACTTCAGGGGCCATGTAATCTGGAGTCCCAACCGGGAGTTTGGCATTTACCTGGAAACCCGCAAATAAAATGAACACAGCAAATTTTCAATTATCCTCAAATAGATTGCCAGCAGCCACAATTCAGACATAAGCTGATTTGCCTCTGATTACTATTCTCCCAGGCACTTGAACCTTCTGTCAAGTGGCACAGCATCAGGAAATGCAAATGAGTCACTCACTTAAAAAAAAAAAAAAAAGCACATAATGTAATCCAAAGGCAAAGGGGCCAGGATTGCCGATGATATACACTGTTTGGTTACACAAATGAGAGTTGGGTACATACCTGGAAAGGAAGATATCTTTCCTGATACTTCTTACTGATACAACAGAACTTCTCTTAGGGAAACAGTAAAATGATAATGTCTAAAGATGAATCTAAAAGATCAATCTACCCTTTATTGGAAAACTGGCAGCTTGCTGGCAACACAATATTGTAAACATGTGTTCTATCTCAAGTTTAAATATTTGAAATCAATATTCCTATTCGGCCCACCCACAAGGCAAGACATGATAAATAACTTCCGCCAGAGGTCAAATGTTATTAATGAGTTCATTTTCTTCACTCCCAACTCCTGCTCCTCTGATTCTCTTCCTACTGTTCAGAAACACAGAGCCCTCCAATCCTTGGTTCTCAAGCACATGACCTTGACAAAGAAATATCAGGGCAATGTAGCTTTGTCTCTTTATAAAGCTAAACACAATCCATTTAAGGAACTGTCCTTATTTCTTAGAATTTGTCCTGACTGGTTTAGTGTTTAAACATCCTTTGTTTCCAGAAATGATGCTGATGAAAAGGTATGTTTTCTACCCCTCACTCCCACTCCTTCCTAGGCACCCTAGTAAGCTGGCAACCTTTGGGTCTTCAAAACTGTCTTGAAGCTTTATTGAGCCATGAAATCTGAAGTCAAAAGATCACCTCTCTAACCTTCTTTCCTGTCGAAACAGAGAGGGCCTGATACTGATCACATACTGGGTTGACCAGCTGCCCAATAACCCTATATCTAAAAAGGATTCTCTCATATCAGTAGTTACAAGGTAAAAAGAACTCTCCCCCCATTAAAGGGTATTAAGTGCCACTATTTGAGCTAAGAGATTCTATAGGTGTGACCACACATCTTTAAGGCTGGGCTTTATATCAAGAAAATCAATTTGCTTTGCTTTGATTTGAATAGAGATTGAGAGGAAATCCAAGTTTAGAGAAGATGTTAGGAGTCTCCTTTACCCAGTGAAGAAGGCCAAGCTCTTCCAGCCTGAAACTTCAATCTTGCCCATTCCCAAAGACCCATTGTTAAAGAAAACAAATTCATTCTTCCTACTCCCTCTCTTTTACCCCTTCCCTCAGGCCCACCACAGGTTTGTTTCAAACCCTAAACCCAGAGAATAGTGTGATATTGTTGTTCTTGAACTATTCAGCCATTGGGCAACAGCACTTCCATTACAAACACATATTTAGGAAAACTAAAGGGTCACACCACCCAAGAAATTCACAGGCCTGTGCTGACAGACTAAAGTGAGGAGAAAGGAGAAAACATTTGGTCTAAAACAGGACAACTTAACCTTGAGGAACTGAAAGTAGCTTCAGTCAAAAGGTAACTTTGATGTCAGGAAGCCTGAGCCAAGACTTCTGTCTTTTAATGTGTGTGTAACAGAATGATCTCTGTTCGTTTCCAAGGCAAACCATTCAATATCACAGTAATCCAAGACTATCCCCGACCCAGTAACGCTGAAGAAGCTAAACAGTTCTATGAAGACCTACAAGACCTTCTAGAACTAACACCCAAAAAGATGTCCTTTTCATTACAGGGAACTGGAATGCAAAAGGAGGAAGTCAAGAAACACCTGGAGTAACAGGCAAACTTGGCCTTGGAGTACAGAATGAAGCAGGGCAAAGGCTAACAGAGTTCTGCCAAGAGAACGCACTGGTCATAGCAAACACCTTCTTCCAACAACACAAGAGAAGACTCTACACATGGACATCACCAGATGGTTGACATAGAAATCAGACTGATTTATATATTTTGCAGCAAAAGATGGAGAAGCTCTACACAGTCAGCAAAAACAAGACCGGGAGCTGACTGTGGCTCAGATCATGAACTCCTTATTGCTAAATTCAGATTTAAATTGAAGAAACTGAAGAAAACCACTAGACCATTCAGGTATGACCTAAATCAAATCCCTTATGACTATACAGTGGAAGTAAGAAATAGATTTAAGGGACTAGATCTGATAGACAAAGTGTCTGATGAATTATGGACGGAGATTCATGACATTGTACAGGAGACAAGAATCAAGACCATCTCCAAGACAAAGAAAGGCAAAAAAGCAAAATAGCTGTCTGAGGAGGCCTTACAAATAGCTGTGAAAAGAAGGGAAGTGAAAAGCAAAGGAGAAAAGGAAAGATATACCCATGTGAATGCAGAGTTCCAAAGAATAGCAAGGAGAGACAAGAAAGCCTTCCTCAGCAATCAATCCAAAGAAATAGAGGAAAACAATAGAATGGGAAAGACTAGAGATCTTTTCAAGAAAATTAGAGATTCCAAGGGAACATTTCATGCAAAGATGGGCTCAATAAAGGACAGAAATGGTAGGGACCTAACAGAAGTAGAAGATATTAAGAAGAGGTGGCAAGAATACACAGAAGAACTGTACAAAAAACATCTTCATGACCCAGATAATCACGATGGTGTGATCACTTACCTAGAGCCAGACATCCTGGAATGTGAAGTCAAGTGGGTTTAAGAAAGCATCACTATGAACAAAGCTAATGGAAGTGATGGAATTCCAGTTTAGCTATTTCAAATCCTAAAAGATGATGCTGTAAAAGTGCTGCACTCAATACGCCAGCAAATTTGGAAAACACAGCAGTGGCCACAGGACTGGAAAAGGTCAGTTTTCATTCCAATCCCAAAGAAAGGCAATCCCAAAGAATGCTCAAACTACTGCACAATTGCACTCATCTCACACGCTAGTAAAGTAATGCT